CTTTATCTAATATTGATAAATATTTCTCCTAATTATAAATAAAATAATAAAAAGATAAATACAAATGTAACATATAAGTTTTGTTATACGTCTAATATATTTTTCCCATAATTTCATAAATTTTATTTTTAATCTCCATAACTTAAAATGTTCCATTTTAATTCCTATACATATAACTTTAGGTCTCTTTTAGACTTTATTGTTGCAAAAACTTAAGAAAAAAAAATCTATTAAGATTAAAATAAAATATTTTTAGTCATAAAGATTAAAAAGTAGTTTATCAAATTATAGAATCATAAAAGTAATTAAAAAAAAATAACAACGACTACACCCAACAATTTTTTTATAACCAAACTGAATGAGATATATAAAAAAAATTAAGAATTAAATACAATTTTAATCTTTGCGATTTAAGTTCCTTTAGAGGATTTATTTTCATTTTCATTCTTCTAAGATTTAGAACCACTATTTTTATCTTTATTTTTATGTGATATTTTAATTAATTAATTTATTAAAATATTAAATGATCATCATTAGTGTTATTCATCATAATTGTTAGTAATATTATGTAATTAAGGGATGCTTTTTAATTTTTTTTTATAAATCATTTAAAGAAATGATACTCATCTATCTTAAAACAATTATTGGAGAGAGAAAAAACGACTTTAACTTTTAAAAAGATAAAAAATTAAAAAAAAATTACATAAAACAAAGTTAAAGATTACTCATTTTACAAATACTAAAAACAATATATACAACTTTTAAAATTATAAAAATAAAAAATAATTTAAGAAAAAAATTAAAACTTAGCATATTCTACTGTTTATACGAATTTAAAAATATATTTATGTAAAAAAGTTAATTAAGCAAAACAAGAGATATAATAAAAATCACGAAAAAGAGATAGTTAAAGTGATGTTAAGTGTACCTCTGCAACCATGAGGAAGGTATGGGTTTCCTTCGAAGCCTGCTTTACATTTGCATCGGTAGCCATATCCAGTGTTGGAGTTCTCACAATAGCTATTATTCTTGCACGCATAGTCGTTGGTTCTACCCTTGGAATTTTCACACGTGTCGCTTCCAACCGTCCAATCAACGACAAACGGTACCTTCTCGAACGGGAACCGCTCCAAATGATCCACTGAGAAAGTATAGTTGCCATTCTTAGCAACAAAGGAAGTGCTGCAGTTGTTGAAGCCGAAGGAGGAATTGAAATTGTTGAAGCTGAATGCTTGTAAGCTAATGTTCTTCATCCCAGGAGGTATATCCACGTGGCAACACCCTATCCCCGTACACTTTCCTTCTCTCTGCATGATTTGCATGCTCTTTTTGCTGTCACATTTCGTCAAGCATCCCGTTGTAGATTGTGTACCTAAGATACACAAATATGTTTCATTCGGGGATACATAATTATAAATTACATGTTAAAGAGTGTGTTACTTATATCTAAGGTGAAGTGAAGTAAAATATATGTACCGTCGCGGAAACTGTTGAGGAAGCCAATAGTGTCGCACCCAACACTGACGAACTTGTTGTCTTCGCTGGAAATAGCAAAAGCGGGTGTTCTGAGAGTGGGTACTTCGCCTCCTATTGCTTCGTTTTCAGAACCATTTTTGCAAACCTGAGAAACGAAGGCAAGCATGTCCATTTTGCCTTCGAGGGTTATGTTCAAAATCTGGACGTTACCGTTACCGCGATATAAGGTGGAGTGGTTGCACATGAGTTCCAATGCTTCCTCCAAGAAACAGTTCTTACCGTTGACTGAGCCTATGCCGAACGGATATGGAACCGAAACGCCTCCACAACTGTTGGGGCAGCCGGGTAGGACGACTTGGTCAGCTGCTGCTAACGCCATCAGCAACAGCACGGTCAACTGCATGATCATCTGCGTGCCCTTCAATCCCATTCTTGCCTTCTTAAGTTCCATGTGTAGAAAAACTTGGATTTATAGCGAGAGGGATTTTAGACTCTGACCGGGTCATCTTGGATTACAAAGAAAATTTTAAACAAGGCTTTGTTATGCTGTGGATCGATTAGTCCGTCACCGCTTAACTTCTTGTTATTTCATTCAAAATTTAAAAACTTCAAATATTTAACTTTGTTTCCTAGTTATTTTCGTAATTGGAACTTGTTGAATAATACTATAAAATAATACGATGATTTGAAAATGATACGTGTTTATGTTAGATTACTTTTACAAAGAAGTGTAAGTAGGTAAACATATTTAAATGAGTCTCTTATTTGATCCAATCAAAAATTTAATAAGTTTGGTTGATTTGGGTTTATATATATATATATATATATATATATATATATATAGAGAGAGAGAGAGAGAGAGGAGAGATTCTTTTATTCCAGGAGTAAGTCTACTTAGACTTAATCCGTTCAATAACTCATGTTCTATATCAAATTAAAATGATATAACCGTTAAATTTAAAGTTTTTAATGCATAGAACAAATCTGCAAATTTTTAGAAAATTCAAAAATCATTTGATACTTCGTTTTATTAATTCGAATCAATGTATAAAATAATTTTATGATTATCCGTCAATTTGAATTAATGAAATGAAGTATCAAATGATTTTCAAATTTTCTAAAAATATGCAGATTTGATCTATGCATTAAGAACTTTAAATTGAACGGTTGGATCGTTAAAATTTGATGTAGAACATGAGTTATTGAACGAAGTAAGTATAGGTAGACTTACTTCTGGAGTAAAAGGATGTAATTATGCAAATTATTTGATATCTTGTTGTAAGTATGATGTCATCAACCCATATAGAGTAAACAATGTTACAAACTAAACTAGTAAGTAACCCATGCAAATGTTGTGACATCTTTAACCCCTCATACATAACAACATCTTATATTATAAACTAGAATACCTCAATATAAAAAAAAATAATAAACTCAAAATTCCTACAAGTAGAAAGAATCACATTTTAACATAAACTAAACAAAACAAAAATAAAAAATTACAAAGAAAATAAAATATCATGAATCAAATCCTAAATAGTCCTAACTACTCCTAGATGTCATATGTCCTATCAAAGCAACCCAACATTGAGGACTAGGTCTCATCACCAACATTTTGAGTACCACATTGATGATCACTTACAACAACTGCAAGAAAACAACATAACATCTCACTCGACCAACTCACGATGCAAGAATCTAACCAACTAGTCAAATACAAACAATACATATTGTAATATATAGCATACATAATTATACATTATCATCATAATTATTTCATTTATAACATAATAAACAACAATAGATGAAATTATAATTCATATGCAACGGACATGGACTACATGTTATCATGCATGTAGTGGCAGTAAAAACATCACACTTGTGCATTGTCGCCAGTAATATACTAGAGTAGTCTAGGAGTATATGTCGAGTCACACCCTATACGCACTCTCACTAGAAGGACATACTATTAGGGTTTGGTCAGGATAACTAAGCCATGCAAGATACATCCCATGCTCATGAGGGTAAGATTGTGACGTTCAAATCGAACTATCCCCAAGGTTGGCACCAAAGCTTTTACACAAGGGATCTTCCCTAACGGTGTATTCCATATCGTACCCTTAAAAAAATTGCATGCACATGATGCATGTCAAACAGTGATAGCAAAGCTAGGTGAAAAAGATTGATGATATTCCCTTGGCTTTGCTCTAACCTTGGAATCCTTCCTTAAACCAAATTCTGGATGTCAAAATCCAGCAATGAAGAAGATGAATTGCGAAATTGAGAAAGGAAGGAAGCACTAAAGTGAAAGGAGCAATGGATTGCTCACAAATGGACTAGACCTAGAAGCTCTCAAGGTTCTAAGCTAAGCGTGAAAAGGAGACTTGAGGGGAGAATTTGGCTTAATCAAAATCTGATCAAAATTCTCTAAATATTCAAAGTGATTACAAATGAGAAGGAGTGATCTATATATAGGTCCGGAGGCAAGCAAAGTGGCACCAATCACAAGCTTACATAATTGGCGCCAAGAATTTAAATTTCAAATGGGATTTGAAATTCAAATTTTCGATCACCATGTGCATGGCTGTGATCTTAGGCTCTCCATGCATCTAAATGTCATTTAGAAGACATTTAGAATGGATTTGGGCGTGCACATGTTCAACCACACTTGGCTTAAAACATGTGACCCCAAATTCATCTTAAATGACTACTAAATGAAACCTAGATTTAGCCTCACTTACCTATTCTAGTATTCCTCCAATATTCCTACTCTAATGGTCTAAATACAATGGCCAAAGAAATACAAACAATAAGAAATAATAAAAGGAACAAAATGAGCCCAATATTAGGTATCAAAATACCCAAGGCCCATGCATAAAGCCCATAAAGCCCAAAAATAGGTCCACTAAGCGTATGACCCAAAAACCCTAATCTAGGTGGTCCAAAATACAAGACCAAAAATGTAAAGCCTATACTACATATTGGAAACAATAATAATGGTGGTCACTATAAAGCCCATGTGAAAGTACCCTAGGCCCACCAAACTCTAAAGTAGTCAAATCTTCATGTAATCTCCTAGCCATAGCTCTAGTGGTTGGATCCTTGGTCCATGCTCTTCCACCATCCCCTCCCTCTTGAGAAGGATTTGTCCTTAAATCTAAAGACTCACCCTCATCGTCACTAGCTCCTACAAAAGGTTTTAGATCACTAACATTAAAAGTAGGGCTAACTCCATAATCAGAGGGAAGATCAAGCCTGTAAGTGTTATTATTGATACGCTGCAGGAGTTGAAAAGGTCCATCTCCTCGGGGACTAAGCTTAGACTTTCTCTTTTGGGGAAACCTTTCTTTTCGCAAATGAAGCCAAACCCAGTCTCCTTCCTCGAAGATCATATTCCTTTTGCCTTTATTATTAGCTTTAACATATCTCTCATTTTGTTGTTGTATTTGCAATTTAATCCTCTCATGTAATTTTTTTAACAAATTCAGCTCTTGAAGCCCTTTCTTTATGAATAAAATGATGAACATCAGGAAGAGGAATCAAATCCATAGGAGTCAGAGGATTAAATCCATACACAGCTTCAAAAGGAGAAATATTGATAATCTTATGGACTACCCTATTGTAGGCAAATTCAATATGAGGTAAATACTTATCTCAAGATTTATGGTTTCCTTTTAGGACTGACCTAAACATAGTGGATAGAGATCTGTTAACTACCTCTGTTTGTCCATCAGTTTGTGGATGACATGTGGTAGAGAAAAGCAATTTTGTTTCTAGCCTTGACCATAACACTTTCCAAAAATGGCTTAGGAATTTAGTATATTTATCAAACACTATAGTCTTAGAAATCCCATGAAGTTTAATCACATCTCTAAAGAAGAGCCTTGCAATGTTGCTTGCATCATCTATTTTGTGGCATGGAATGAAATGGGCCATTACTAAACCAATCCACTACCACAAAGATAGAATCCATTCCCCTTTGGGTCCTAGGGAAACCTAGCACAAAATCCATGCTAATATCTACCCAAGGAGAAGAAGCAACAGGTAAATGTGTGTAGGTTTCATGGGGCATTATTTTAGACTTAGCTTGTAAACAAGCTACACATTTAATACAATGCCTTTGGACCTCTTTTCTCATATGGGGCCTGAAAATTTTTTCTTTAAGTAAACTTAGAGTTTTATCAACTCCAAAATGCCCCATAATTAAGACCACCTTCATGACTCTCTTTTATTAATAATTTTCGCATGGATCCTTAGGGTATACATAACTTGCCTTCTTTGTACAAATTCCCCTCAACCATGTAAAAACCATTAATTGCTTTTTGTTTGCAAGATTAATAAATAGATGCAAAATCTAGATCTTTCTCATACATTTCCCTAATATTATCAAATCCCAAAATTTGGGTTCCAAGAGTCGCAAGCAAAGTGTGCCTCCTTGATCAGGCATCAACCATTATATTAGCGTTTCCCCTTTTGAATTTGATAATTTAAGGAAATTTTTCAAGAAATTCTAGCTATTTTGCATGCTTTTTATTTAATTTACCTTGGCCCCTCAAATACTTTAGTGATTCATGATCACTATGTATAACAAACTCCTTGGACACTAAGTAGTGTTCCCAAGTTTGGAGGGACCTGACCAAAGCATACAACTCCTTGTCATAGGTGGGATAGTTAAGGGAGACACCTTTTAGTTTTTTTCACTAAAATATGAAATTGGGTGTCCTCCTTGTAATAATACAACACTTATTCCAATTCCAGATGCATCACATTCTAGCTCAAAAGTTTTTGAAAAATCAGGTAGAGCTTGTATGTGTGCATTTGTGAGTTTATCTTTAATGTTTGAAATGCTTCGTCTTGTTTTAGACTCCACTCAAATGGAATATCTTTCTTGACAATCTCATTCAAGGGTGAGGCAATGATGGAGAAGTTAGGAACAAAACTTCTATAAAAACTTGTCAGTCCATGAAAACTTCTAACTTCACCAACATTATTTGGTTTTGGCCGCTTTTGGATGGCTTTAATTTTCTCAGGGTCAACTTGAACCCCATTTTTGCTAACAATTAACCCTAAGAAAACCAC